TCATACATCCTATGGCTAAGAATCTAAACATTTCCAGCTCATTCCCTAAAATGGGGTGACGCATTTCTAGCATAAAGAACAAAGAAAAACCAATGTGACTTTCAGCTTAACAGGAGATAAACTTCAAACAACCATTGTGAAGTACTAAGGACTATTTGCAGTAGTGAATGTAGACACATTTAAAGCAAAAATATCCCATAAAGCTTACATAAAGAATATATTCAATAGCAGTCTACAAAATGTTAGACAACCACAGGAAGAAAAATTATAATCTATATATGCCATATTTATAAGGATATTAAAAAATTATCATTGGAAGGAACCTAATTAATGAGGGAACAGCTTTTGATGCATTACCATCAAAATCATTGTAGACAAGCACACCAAGGACTCAGCAGGCTATTGGTTTTTATATAGCTGTCAATACTGCCATACAGTAAGAACAGCTTTTTAATCATTTCCTTTTTTTTTTGGACACAGAGTCTCATTCTATCATCCTAGGTAGAGTGCTGTGGTACCATAGCTCACAGCAACCTCAAACTTCTGGGTTTGAGGGATCCTCTTACCTCAGCCTCCCAAGTAGCCACTTGCCACCACACCCACCTAGTTTTTCTATTTTTAGTAGAGACAGAATGAGGTTTCTTTAAGTACAGTTTTAAAACATTACTTTGACTTCTGAACCACGTATAATATTCTGCAAATTCAAAAATAAAATCTTAAAAGATAAAAACCAATGAATGGTATCAAATTGGTAGCATAACCAGAGAAAAGTATTTCAATGACCTCTGAACACATAATTTTTATGATTATAAAAAAATGCAGGTTTGGTGCTCCTAGCTCATTGAGTAGGGTGCCAGCCACATACACAGAGGCTGGAGAGGTCAAGCAAGGTCCAGACCAGCTAAACAATGACAACTGCAATCAAAAAATAGCCTGGCATGTGGCAGGCTGTAGTCCCAGCTACTCAGAAGCTGAGGCAAGAGAACTGCTTAAGCCCAAGAGTTTGAGGTTGCTGTGAACTGTGATGCCACAGCACTTTACTGAGGGCAACATAATTCTTAGGTCAAAAAAAAATGCAAACAAATCTTAAAATGTACTCAGATGTTTACTGATAGTAGTAATATTGGTACTGTAATTTAAAAAATAATTTTATAGGCCGGGCATGGTGGCTGATGCCTGTAATCCAAGCACTCTGGGAGGCTGAGGCAGGTGGCTAGCTTGAGTTCACAGGTTTAAGATCAGCCTGAGCAAAAATCGAGACCCTGTCTCTACTAAAAATAGAAAAATTGAGGCAAAAGGATCTCTTGAGCCCAAGAGTTGGAGGTTGCTGCAAGCTATGAAGCCACAGCACTCTACCCAAGGCTATTTAGCCTGAGACTCTGCATCAAAAAAAAAAAAGAAAGAAAGAAATTATGGGAAATCTAGTCACATGTAATAAAAAAATGTACATAGTAGAAAGCAATTAAATACTGCTATATTAATTTCACTAGGTACCAAAGTTTTCATTTAAAACAAAACAGAGAATCAAAAAAGAAAAAAATCTGTTACCCTAAATTTGAATTGAGTAATCACTATGAACTCATCTCAGGCAAGCTAAGAATTCTAGAAGCAATGATAACTTCAGTGGCAATGAATGTGTCAAACATCCCATATCTCAGTTAAGAGCCAAGCCTGCCTGGATAAACAGCTTTTTCCAGATGTAAAGAAATACAAGGTAAGTCCAGGATACAATGTGCCAGAAAGCACTCTAAGATTAATGGTGAGAAAAGGTGTCAAAAGACAGGATTGTCCAAAAGAACTAAGGAAGTCCCTCACCCTCCAAAAAACAAAGATAAAAATTTTTTTAAATGTAGAAAAGAAAGACACAGAGCCATCTTTTTTTTTT